TGGTCTCTTCAGGACTGCCTCTAGGCCGCCAGTCTGGAGAGCTTCAGCTGGCGATGGATGATTTGCTAGTCGGCTCCGGTTATGCTTTACAACGTAGTGCCATGCCGTGGATTACACGAGACAGATTCCCTTGGAACCTTAATCCGATGATCAAAAAGGTGAACGCCTCAAGCAGATGTCCAGTCGTCCTTCGATTCTTATTGTCAGATGCATTCAGGGGCTAAACAGCTGAATAGAATATGTGACGAGATCATCAGCGAAAGACGGGCGGAGCGGAAGTCGGGAAAAGGAGTTGAAAGGCATGACTTGCTGGACAAGTTACTCCATCTTGATGAAGTGGACTTGCGAGGCAATCTCATGACGTGAGTCTCGCTTGTGGATCTAACATTCTCTGGTATCTTGTGAATACGCCAACGATGATACAGAATACGGAGAATCTCAGTATATAGTGAATGTAATCAGGTTCCTCATTGCTGGTAGCGACACCACGGCCATGACCGTCGCCTGGTGTCTCTACTATCTCGCGCTATATCCTGAAATACAGAACAGGGCCTGTGATGAGGTGGATGCTCTCGGCCATGACCCCAGTACCATGGAGGACCTCGACAGGCTGGTCTTCGTTAAGTGTTGCATACTCGAAGCTCTCAGAGTGAGTGATTGATAAGCAACCAACGATATTTGGGTTTCTCCTCAGTTGCAACCCCCGGCTGTGTTCCTTATGCATGAGTGTACTCGCGACACAGTTTTCGATGGTCATCGGATCCCTGCCGGAACGGATGTGCTGACCCTCTTCCGTAAGGCGATGATGACAGAAGCGCAGGGCGGGAAAACATTCGAGTATCGACAATTTCTGCTACTTCATCTCTGAGCTCGTCGTCCATCTCAGCCCCAAACGTTGGCTCCTCTCTGACGGCTCGTCGATAGACCAAGCGCGTGAACGTGATCACCTGGCATTCGGTGGAGGTCCTCGTCAATGTCCTGGGAAGAACATGGCCACCAAGGAGGCAGTGATGATCCTGACTCTGATCCTAAGATATTTTAACTCTATCTCATTGAACTGCTCTTCCTCAAGTGTCCGTGGGGAGGCTACGTTCACGTACGGACCACTGAATCTCGAGCTCCGAATGCTGCAACGAGTTGGCTGAAGTGGCTGCTACTCTTTGATTTTACTGTCTCTGGTGCTCTGATTTTTTATCCGGTCACAAAACGTCCTTCGCGATCATCCAGTCTTACCCCTCTGCAAAGGCCAGAATTGATCGTAAGATCTGCGTCAATTTGTGATATTTCTAAGTGTGGAAACAAACGGCTTGAGTTCCGGCCTGAGACGTGCCCAAGATGAATATGTTGAGGTGGCACAGCGGCCCCATGTGAGGCATATGTTGAGGTGGCATAGCGGCCCCATGTGAGGCATATGTTGAGGTGGCATAGCGGCCCCATGTGAGGCATATGTTGAGGTGGCACAGCGGCCCCATGTGAGGCATATGTTGAGGTGGCATAGCGGCCCCATGTGAGGCATATGTTGAGGTGGCATAGCGGCCCCATGTGAGGCATATGTTGAGGTGGCATAGCGGCCCCATGTGAGGCATATGTTGAGGTGGCACAGCGGCCCCATGTGAGGCATATGTTGAGGTGGCATAGCGGCCCCATGTGAGGCATATGTTGAGGTGGCACAGCGGCCCCATGTGAGGCATATGTTGAGGTGGCATAGCGGCCCCATGTGAGGCTATGTTGAGGTGGCATAGGGGCCCCATGTGAGGCATATGTTGAGGTGGCATAGCGGCCGCATGTGGCTGAATCGGCCTTATCATCTAGGAAGTCGATTTTGGCGTTTCCCCGACCTGTCCGAGAAGTCAGTCTTCCTACTTGAGACGTCTGGATAGTTGATTGTGTTGAGGCATATAT